CGACACTTGCACCTTCATTGGAAGCGAACGATGACAGTTAACACGTTCGTGGCCGATGGAGCGGAAAAAAGCGATTACTGCGATGCCAGCCGTAGAAAGGAAATTTTCCCTACATACCGACTGAAGGAGAGAATGAATTTTGCTCAGTTCTTCCTATGATAACACGGGATTGGCTATCGAGACATCATCCCACAACCCCACGCTTTTTAGGGATTGGGTTTTCGTTTTGATGACATGTCCTGCGATGGCGAAGGACTTGGCAGCGAACAAATATAAGTACGTACGTTGGTTTCAGATTCATCGGTTGACATATGCTCGCTGTGCATTGCACACGTTCACATTTTATGGCCTAGCAGTAGCTCAGAGTTGTTCAAGCATTCTACTTCACAATTTCGGGTTACTTGTGTTTTTTACAGTAAAAACAGTAATCTGTCATATTTTAAAAGAGGGTTGCAATGTCGAAAACAAGTGTTAATAAAAGAAAACATATAATTTTAATACCAAAGGGTATTTTAATACCAATTTTTATACATACCTATCCCATCGAGTGAACCGTAATACTTTAAAAATATTAGAAGTAGCCCTTAACCTGGAAAAGTCTGCCTTCCCCTGGTATTAGGGATAAATAAAGTCCATACACTTGTTTGAAAATTGAATGGCCCTTACTTATTATTGCAATCTATTGGCGATATTATATAAAATGAAGCACCTGGTTGCCAATTCAGCGCGTACGTCACATAGAAAATCGAGGTGATCAACTTGGCGAGTTATTGATAGAGTTGGCTATTGTTGCGATAATACTAAGTACCAATCATACTCCAGATAAAACAGAAAACTAAAGCTTTGAAAATGAAAGTAATCCTGTCTCATGAATAACTCGTTTGTCAAAGGTCACGTACATTATCTTTTATTGAGGAAATGGAAGTAGAGTAGAGAAACAAATAGATCAATGGTTAGCGCAGGAGATAATTTTGAGAGATCGACTATTTTTTCTCTCAAATTTTTACTTTAAATTTTATTGGGGCAGTGTTAGAAAGATCCTGAGAGCAACTGCATTTTTTTTAGTGCTGTGGTCAAAAAACCATATCATTATTTTATTTTATGCTTTTTAGTGCGAATCAAACTAATAGAGATTACCTTTAGATTATTTTTTGTTTATATACGTATATAGTGTTTATTCCCTTTCTGCAGAATATCTTCATATGATGAACAACTCCATCCATAAAACTGTATCTAAACGAAATTTTTTTCTAAATCTTCTTTCATAAACTTGTAATATCTGGTTACTGTTGGTGGTGGATTATTAAGTATTTGGTGCCATTCTCCGCATATCCAGGGGAGGGTTGTTATTTATGAAAAAGCAAGGTGTTGGTCTATGCACGGGAGAAAAGGGAGTTCCTTTGTTTTTAGCACGAGACATTGGACTCAAATTGGTATTAAAAACATATAGTTTCTTGGTTTTGTTGCATTTTGAAAAGATAGAATTTTTTTCTCTTGGGCTGTGCCTGAAATTATTGAAGAAATACTATTGAAAGATAATACAAAACTACTGTTCACAAATTATTTAGTATCTTACCAACCACACACAAAGAAGGTTTTCAAGCTTTAAATACGTTTATTTAAATGTTGTTGTTGTTACTAATGCCACCTGACTGACGTAGTCAGATCTAGGCCCACGAAATTCATCATGGCATCTGGCTATATTGTACGCCTGTCGTTAGCCTAAGCTTTGAGTCCTCATGAAGGTGACAGTACGCTTTTGCTCACACAACAAGATAGTTGGCGACACCATTCGGACCCACTGATTTATCGAGCACGTTCTCCGTTTTGTACTCGGCGGATATTTGGTGGCATCGAACCCAGGCCTTCCGGTCTGTAGTCCGATGCTCTAACCACTGGGCTACTCATGGCCTAGTTGTTATTTGAAATAAAAATGAAATCACCAGGGAATCCTGTAGAATGTAACTGCAAGACAATAAACAATATGCCCTTTTCCGGCTATTAAGGTTCAGGTAAAATACTCGAAAATTCAGTTTAATTAATCTTCACTTCATTCAAAGCATAACGTGGTCCCATTTACTTCTTTATCAACAATGTTCTCAACAAAAAAGGAAAATTATTTTTGAGATAGGAATATATAAAAAGGGCTCACCCAAAATTTCCACGGTGCAGAACAGTGGATCAGATCCAGAATTCGTAAGAAATTCTAAAGGAAGCTCAAATGCGGACCAGGCTGAATCATTTTTAACTTCAAGCAGCTGTTCTTGATTTTCGCAGGGTTGATCTTCTTGCATAGAAGAAAAACAAGCCATCACTCGTACGGGTAGAGATTGAATCTTCTTTTGTATCCATAGATGCGTAGATGATACGGGTTTGCTATCCGAAGGTAATTTGAACTGATATCTTGCACAATGATTGCAAGCGGTATTATCTATAAATATATGAAAGTATATATACATATATATATATATATATATATATATATATTCATTAAGTTATTTTTATTAGAGACATGTTTTTAAAAAAAGAACAAAGATCAAGGAAACAAAATATTCAAAAATTATAACTTGGTACATCGTTTCTCAAACTATGGGGCTTGATAAATCTACAAGGGGGAAGGTGCGAGAATATTGAAAAGTCGTAAGTAAAAGATTATTTACAAAAATTATTAGTTTATAGAAAATAAACAAAAGAAAATATATTCTGACATAATAAAAAATAAAATACACATTTGAACTGATATAATACACTTATAAATGTATCAGTACTGTGCAATATATTATCCCATGTTCTTGATATGTATAAAATTATTTACAAAAATTAACACTTATCTCGAAAATTTGTTTGGCTTATAAGTTTATTTTTACTGCCGATAAAAAATTATGGCAAATGAATGAATAAGAAAATCCCCTGAAATAAGTAAATCCTTCACAAACACACACTGTCGAGGTCTTTTTACTGCATTCCAGAGTCTTCGGAATATTTTTATGGATAGCAGTGAACAGAAAAGATCGTACTCCGAAGAGACGTATATATACGTCTTCCACAGTAATTAACGCTTTGGATGAGCTAGACGTTTACTTCGTCAGTGGCACTCCAGAAGTTAATGTCGTATTATAGCTTTAGCGTCAAAGTATAGTATTATGGAATTGTTATTATAAGAAGGGGGGTGGCTATTAAAATTATGATTGAATATTGGGTCACAAATATTGTAGTTTGAGAAGCACTGACCTAGTAAATTTAATTAATATTCTCTATTACTATTCCTACCGGATGCCATTAGAGATCTTATGTCATTATCTAAACATTTTACGAAAAAAACGGAAAAACAAAATCTATCCTGAAAATGTATTCGCTGCAAAACTTTTTCATTACCAAAACTTAATTTCTTGAGTAAATATTAGCAAACATTTCTAATTGGATAGCTTCAATGACAGCAAGTTGTGACGGTTCTATCCGCGAATGTACTAACACCTTCCCCACTATTCTGTGGAAAAATAATTAATTGAACCAACATTCGCCGACCAAGAAAGCTAGATTATATAAATGAAGTATTTTATATAAATTCCGTTTTCGCGAGTTTGTGAGTTGGCACGTTGGAGTTGGCAAGTAGGAGTTAGCGTAGAGTCTGCGAATTATCTTGTTAGTTGAAGATTGAAAGATAGTTGAATTAGAGGTCTTGGAGTTGTCCAGGAAAAAGATTACAGAGCTTGGATCCAACAACATCGATCAAGCCTGATAAAGATCACCTGCAAGTTTCCAGTGTAGGATCCGATGCATAAAAAGTACAGGTATTGTGTGCTTGATTAATTAGAGGTTAGCTTATTAGTGTGCTATGTAGTTATATTTGAGCATACTTAAGCTGTCTTAGATTCAGTTGAGGGTCTGTAGTAGTATCCCCGGGTTATAGAATCTCACCTCCGCGCTCTATTATTTAATCTCCTACCTTAACTAGATTGTTATTGTGTCTGATTGATATTTGGTAACAATAAATTAATTAGATTGAAATCCTGTCTGTGGATCATTCTGTTTCTCCCACACACCTAGCCGGGTTTACAGGTAGACAAGGGGTTCAGAGTCAAGCAGGAACCGACCGCTATCACAAAGTTGATGAATTTCTGATAACAATACTATTAGCAATTTGAGTTAAAAAAATTCTGAAATCGAATTTTATATTTGAATATTTTTTAAAAGTGAGCTAACACCTAATTAAAAACATAATAAAACGTGAGTCTATGTTCAGAAATTACGATCGTAGAAGTAGTGAAAAAAAAGCAAAGAAACCAAAGGACTAAGGTAAAGGTTCAAACTTTTAAGGAAACCCAAATTAAATATTTCTATTATCTTATAAACAATTATCTTTTAATTTTTTTTTATTTAGTATGATAGTCTATTTTTATAAGCAAGCAAAAAAGAACTTATTGCTCATTTTAAGTGATATATTTTTGTTCCATAAATGAAATATTCTTTTATTAAAAATCAAATAGCTATTTTCCTCTTGAATAATGGTTTCTCTCATTGACGCAAGGGAATTTGAAAGAATTAAGGGAAATAAAGACAAAATAGATTGCATTTTCTGCTTCAAAATCCTGAATCACTCAAATTCATTTTTTAGAATGCGATCATGAAGGTTGAGTTAAAAATTTGTTCTATTAATGGCAAGAGCAATTATCATTTGTGAAGAACAAAGTCAACAGGGAAGTGGTATTTCGAGACCTGCAATTCTATTTTTCAATTCCCTACCATTAGTTCACTCTCTCCCTATATATATATATACATATACATACATATCTTGTTCAAATTTTTAATCGTTAATAAAATACATCTATTCTTCCATTCAAGTTAAAATACATTTTTTTTAAACTTGTAGTGGATGACACTTGATGTCAAAACAGTTTTTTCAAATAGTAATTATTTAATTAAATTAAAATTGAATAAATAGTAACAAACAAAAATAATAGTCCAACAGCATATATTGAAAGGAAAATCACTCTTGGTGACCCTGTAGCGCAATGGATGACGCGTTGGACTTCTAATTCAAAGGCCGTGGGTTCGAATTTCCCCGGGAAGGCCCAATTTTCTGAGAATGTGATTTCTTTTTTTTTTCTATTCTATTAGGATAATTAAATTTAATTAATGAATAAAAATAACACACAAAAAATAGTCCAACACCCTAAATCGCTTTCTATTTTCAGCAGTGTAATTTTTAAAATTTTTTTTACACTGCTGTTTGTAAAAAATTCAACACCATGAAGGAATCATCAGAATTAAATGAACTTTACAACAAATATCAATTATAGGATTTTACGTAAAATAGTAAAGTTTCAGAGCCACCACGCAAGCGTGGCGTGCGCAGCGCCCTCTGAACTGATGCTGAAAGCATATAATTAGAGGGCTGTAGCGGGATGTTCAAAATAGTTAATGATTATTTGTTAGTGGCAAACGTTTAGTGAGACCTAAGTATGCCTTCACGACGAAATAAGGAGAAATTCCAATAACTTAGAAAGTTTGAAAGGGGGAAGATTATCGGCGTTTGAGAAGGAGGATTTTCCTTTCACGCAATAGGGGCTCGTGTGCAGCGGAACAGTTTCACAGGGGATACGAGTTTGGAATCAATGGACCAACGAGCACCGAACAACTCGAAAAACTGACAGTGGACGTTGGAAGGTGACGTCAGTGCGTGACGATCGACACCTGCTCCATATGGCCGTGTATGACCGTATATCTTCCTCCAGGCAGTTGGCAGCACGTTGGTCTACTGCTACAGGTGTACTAATGTCGGCTTCGTCAATTCGTTGACTTCTGATGCACCGTGGATTGCGTGCAAGGTGTGCCTTTACACAGGATCCCCCTCACAGAAACCATCGGTGGCTACGTATGCAATGGGCTCATGAGCACAGATCCTGGCAAGCTGATTGGCACCAAGTTGTCTTTTCAGATGAATAAAGCTTCAATTTGTGGGACCATGATGGCCGCATTCGTGTTAGACGCTATGCCGGTGAACGCTGCTTTCCAGAGTGCTTTATCGAACCACATTGTGACCTAACAGTTATGGTCCCGGAGTTATGGTTTGGGGTGCGATTTCGTATCATGGACGATCCAATTTGCTGCGAATTGAGGGTAATCTCAATAGCAGGTACGTCAGTGAAATGCTCCAGTCCGAAGTCGTTCCCTTCCTTCAAGGCACCCCTGGAGCTATCTTTCAGCAGGATAATACACGCCCACATGTTTCAAAGACTGTTCGAGACTTCTCTTCAGTCCAACATATGCAACATCTTCCTTGGCCTGCTTATTCGCCGCATTCGTGTTAGACGCTATGCCTGTGAACGCTGCTTTCCAGGGTGCTTTATCGAACCACATTGTGACCTAACACCCGGAGTTATGGTTTGGGGTGCGATTTCGTATCATGGACGATCCAATTTGCTGCGAATTGAGGGTAATCTCAATAGCAGGTACGTCAGTGAAATGCTCCAGTCCGAAGTCGTTCCCTTCCTTCAAGGCACCCCTGGAGCTATCTTTCAGCAGGATAATACACGCCCACATGTTTCAAAGACTGTTCGAGACTTCTCTTCAGTCCAACATATGCAACATCTTCCTTGGCCTGCTTATTCGCCGCATTCGTGTTAGACGCTATGCCTGTGAACGCTGCTTTCCAGGGTGCTTTATCGAACCACATTGTGACCTAACACCCGGAGTTATGGTTTGGGGTGAGATTTCATATCATGGACGATGCAATTTGCTACGAATTGAGGGTAATCTTAGTAGCAACAGGTACGTCCGGGATGTGTTACAGCCTGAAGTTGTTCTCTTCCTTCAAGGCATCCCTGGAGCTATCTTTCAGCAGGATAATGCACGCCCACATGTTGTAAAGACTGTTCGAGACTTCTGCTGAACCCAAAACATGCAACTATTTCATTGGCCTGCTTATTTGCTGGATTTGTAGGCTATTGAGCACATGTGGGATTTGGTTGGTTGGGGTTTCGCTCATGATCCGTGTCCTGCTGCTTCAAAAGACACAACTTTTGCTGCGCATACAAGCAATATGGAATTCTCTTCCACAAGCAGACATTCAAAACTTGTTTGACTCCATGCCACGTCGTACAGCAACACTTATTGCAGCATGTGGTGGCTACACCAAATACTGATTTCGGTCAATTAATAATTTTTTTTTTTTTTTTGCTTTGAAAATTTCGTCATTTATTTGTACTAATACAAGTCGTTTGTGCATTACATTTAATTTAATTCTGATGATTCATGGTGTTGCATTTTTTACAAAAAGAAGGAAAAAAACATTTTTTACATTAAAATTTTCAACTTCCATTAGGGCCAGGACTTTGTTGTGAGGTGGAGAAGAAAAAGTACACTATTTTGAGAGAAATATTTCGAGTGAAAATTGTTTGAAAGACAGCCAAATAGTTTCTTGCAAATCTGTTTTTCTATACAAAAATAAGTACTTCGTTATATCAGCATTTATACCCAAGGAAGTCAACACACATCGAAAACATTTTTGTAATACTGTATTTAAAAATGGTGGATAATTGGATTTGTTGCTAATGCCGGATGGTTTATTAGATATTAGTATTGTAGTTAGTATAGCATGCAAAAAATATATAGCATGCAATCGATAGTATTGCATGCATACGTATAATTCAATAAAAGTGAAAATCTCTAATTAAATTTTTAATTGACAATCGTAAAATTTATTAAAAAGAGTTTGAAACTGTCATTTTTTGTGATTCTCAGAGCTTCAGGTATTTTTTATTTTGTTTAACATTTATAAACCCCGTGCACCACGCAATGTATAAAACGGGGGCATACAACACAGACAGAAGAAAGGATTACAACACAAACATCCAGGCCTTCTCCGGGATTCGAACCCAGTCCCTACGGTACCGCAGTCAGCTTCACTGACCACTATACTGGATAGGCGGTAGCTTCAGGTATTAAATTTGTTTCTTATTAATGATGTTTTTTACAAACATAGAAACGACCAACTGGTAAATCATTATTTTAAAATAAAATGCAAAATACTTAAAAACTGGCTGAGAATTTTTTGGTCATTTAAAATCTTTAATTTTGTTAGATGCTGCTTCTAATACAAATTTGTTATATCCGTTACTTTTCCCCACTCTTTGAAGTTGCACAGATAATCACTACCATAAAATTAATTTGGGGGCTTACCTTCTTTAGGTGAGTACGGGTGTCACAATCCCGAAGTGCCCTAGTGATCTTTTCCTTTTCCCACGGGGTTTACTGTCTTTGGTAAACACGGGCTTCACGAACCCGGGGTACCCTAGTGATCCTTCTCTATTTTCGACCCTCTTTCTTGTCATTCAATTCATTCTTTCTTTCTCTTCTCGTCTAGACTACAGATACTAAAACAAATGTTTGGCGCAGTATAGCCGAAATCGGCTCTTGCGCCAATAAACCCCAAAATCACTCACTCACTCATAAAATTAATTCAAAAATTCATCCTTTCGTGATGGACCTAATAAATATAATTCATGCTGAAAACACTTGTGAGAATGATTCCCGAATTACTCTTGTGTTGTCATGTTAAGCCCTTAACTGGTTTCCACGTACACCGTACGATCCAAACGAAAGCTAGCCACAACCGACTTGCCCGTACAGCGTACGGGCACTGATATTTTCTTCTTTCTCTATCTCTGATTTGTACATATTTTTAATTATTATAGTTATATTATTGGTTCTAGTGTTTTTAAGAGATGTAGTTTGTCCATGGTACTAAAATACTTCTTATTCGGGATTTTTTTTTTGTGGTGAAGACACGAATTTTTTATTGAAGGCAGGAATTCAGATCCTTGAAAATATTCGATAAAGAACAGATATTGGCAAGGCAATGGGCAATTTGTTGTTTGAGAAGAAATGAAAATGTGGAAAGATAATCCAAAAAAAAACTGATATTATCTCTGTCCCCATAGCATTATAAGTTTCACCATGCTTCAAATTGTGCGAGCATATATGTATGCACATACACACAAAATCTTCAACTGTTTGAAAGAGAGGTACGCACATGAATTTTTTTTGTTATGGGGGAAATTCTTTTAAGAGATATATGAAGCATTCTTGATGGTTTGCAGAGTGTACAGTAAAAAACAAACATTTAGGGGGTGGGTGGGTTGTGTTTCACAATTATAAAATAAAAATGGTATGAAAACTTTGAAATTTGAATTTTAAAAAATGCTTCCATTTTCGTATTTTGTTAAGTACTATGCTTAGTTAAATGCAATTAAAAAATGTACCTTTTTTGGAACATTTTGGGCAAAAAAATTAACCTCTTAAGGGGTTGAGGAAGTTCAATCGATCAATCAGACGTTCAAGCTTCAACAACATTCTTATAATATTCAATCAATTTACTTGAATATTTTAGATTCAGTTCTATTAAATGTTAGCATTTTAGTAATTAATCATTTATTTTAAATTAAATCCTGGCTCTTACTGGAAGATATTGGATGGAGTCAAGCCGTAAGACACCCAACGAATAACATGCTGCTCTACTATTCGGGTTTCATGCTTCTAAGACTATTCTAAGAATTCCTTGTGTTAAAAAATATTATAAAAAAGGATCTACGCATTTTAAGATGATATGGTACCCTAAAAATCCTGAAACTATCAAAAAAATTTTTATTGGCTTATTTGATACCTCGAATCTTTATAAACATGCCTGGAAAATTTCAAAGCTTTACCTGAATTTTTTTATCAAGTTATGGAGCAATATTTGATGCTGGACAGCAACTACTACGCCCAATTTTCAGATTATCTGCTAGAAAAAAGCCGAATAAAAAATTAATTAATTATATTCCTACCGCGCGTAAATGAGACTGACATTATATATGCAGTAACCAATCATTTCAAGAAAGAATTGTGCAATTCATGCAAAAATTCTAGTTTGTGAACTGTTTATTGGGGGGAAGAGCAAATGGATTCGGTCAAGATTTAAATGTTGTGCGTGCTTTTTATGATACTTTTATGAATGAAATTAAAACTTCAAAACGGATTCTCCCAAAGGACAGATACTAAATCTCATTTTGATAACTCAAATAATTAAAA